CTCTATTTTAACAATTTTACTAAGAAATTTATTAAAAAGAAAGAATCCTAAATTAGGACAGCAACGACTACATAAACCAAACAAATCATAGCAGCTGCCATTTTTACCTCACAGTATAAGCATAAAAACGTTAATAAAGTAACAACAAATATCTATTAAATCTATAAAATAACAAATACATATTAATTATTACGGCATAATCAGGTTACATTCACCCGGGCCCCTGGGCAGTTGCCCCCTTTGCTATTGCAAAATATTCTGATGACTCAGATTTTCATTGAATATTTTTATGTTTAGCCTATTAAACAATATACATAGAAATACTGGTTTCTAATTGCAACTGTGACATGTTTTAGTTTAAAATATTTTTACATTTATCAGTGATAGAAAAACATGTTTTCATTACTTAATTATCAATATATGATTTACAGAAGATCAGTGTGAGATTACTGCATATTTGAAAAACAAAATAACGGTGACTATGTGGTGGTATTTAGTTGACATTAGTAATTCATTCGCTAAGTAGGAAATGTCCATAATATTTTTGGCAATATCTATCTATGAAATCAAGGGTAATTCAAAAATTAATTAAAAACATTTTGAATGAAAATAAAAAGAGTAATATCATATTAAAATATTGCAGTGATTGTTTGTGTCATGATCTATCTGATGATCATGCACCTTGATGATAACCATTCAGAATTGTTGCTATTCAAAAGGCTCTATTGTAAGGCTGTTATGTCCACAGTACACTATCCCTCCCAACATATTTTCCATAGAACATCTATGGTACAAGGACAACAGCTTGCCAGTGCTTACTTCAACAGTTCTATACAAAAATACACAAGCACTGCATCTTCATGTGTAATAGCATGAATATGTGCTATATTCTCCAGTTGACTGGGGTATGTGACAGTGAAACAAATATATTATAGAAAGAATTTTATGAATGGATATCCTTTTTGACTATCTTGCATAATGTTGCTTAGGGCATATGGCAGGCTTTTGCCATTGACCTTTGTGCTCATGGATTCTCATCTGTTACTAAATACTGCACTTTTCCTTACCAGGTTGGGGTAAGACTTGTTGCAGGTCTCTTTGTGGATGATCTTTGGTCCCTAAGTAGATCTATATACCTTTGTTATTCAATGCAATTATATATTAATGATATGCTCATTTTAGAAATTTTAAATCTTTAACCTGAACACATCTTTATGATATGAATACATCACATCAGAAAGGACTGTTATATACCCTTCTCCAAAGTGATAAATTTTTACTGGCAACACAGTATCCATGAAATGCCAAACATCACAATCTAGTTTTGATACATGTCATTCCACTGCAAATTCATATTGGTTGTGATTTCCATGTGACTTGCTAATTTGCATATTTCAAATCATTTAAATATAACATACTTAACCTCTATATAATAGGTAGTGTTTTCTAAACATAATATTTCTAAAATGAAAAAAATGTATACACTATCAATACAAAATGAACTAAATTTAAAAAAAGTTCAATTGCTTTAGATCTTTTATGAATCTACAAACTAATAAAAAAAATATATAATCATACTTACTGAGCTTCTTATGCAATAATCTGTAGAAAGAAAAAAAAATTACAAACTTAAAAGTTGTATAGTATAAGCATGAAACTGTCATCAAATTAAAGGCAAAAACCTGTCACCTTGCAAGATGTGTCTTACATATATATATTCTTTTATTAACACTGCTTAAATCTTTAATTTATATTACTTGAAGATAACATGAAACTCGTTAATCAGTCCATACAAAAGGAAACAGTACTAGAAGTGAAAGTGTACCATATTCTAATCTATATTTTTAATGCTGTTTCAACAAACACGTTTTGACACTAACTATTAGTTTTTTAATGGAATTCCTTACCTGAAGTTGTGAGCCAATATTAATTCACATTATGTGCTTGTTTGTCTGCAAGCTTTCCAACATATTTTTGGAGCAATCAGAACCAAATTTGGCAGGGGATAAAACATGCCTAGAAGGTCGTCCAGGCATGATGGGGGGGGGGTATTCTAGGAGTAGGTTTGCTGGGTTGATGAGCTAAAATATGGCATTGGATTTTCTGTTCCTGGAACAATTCAGAATTTTGGGGTACCATTTTTTAAGTGTGTTCATACCCCCAATACCATTTATAGGAACAAGATTCAAACAAATACAATAGCTGTCAAAACTGGGATTATCAAAACACTAAAATATAGAGCTATAAGTATATTCCTAAATGAAGAACTTAAACATCTTGACAATATTTTCAGGAATAATGGTTGCCCAAATAAAATGATTCAACATCTGTTTATGGTTCATCTATCTCAACTACTAATGAACCACAATCTGAAAATCACAACGAAAAGAAAAAAGCATTTCTTCCTTACATATCAGGCCTAGAAGAAAACTTCGTAGGATAATGAATAAACTTAACATCACCATAGTTTTCTTAAGCCCTCCTTCACTATACGACAGCCTTACAATGGTAATATCCCTAGTTCTCAGTCCTCTCGCAAAGAATGTGGTTTATAGCACTAGGTGTGAGTATAATAAACAATACATTAGAGAAACACAACATCTGTTACAGGTAAGGTTCAAAGATATCAAAGAGATATTAAAAACTGTGTTGTAAACACATCAGCTATAGCTTTTCATGTTCAGGAAAACAACCATATAATAGACAGAGAAGAAAACACAAAATGTAGAAAAATCAAGGAAGCTATTACCATCTAAGCACAAGACAGTGAGCCACCAGTGGGTATTAATCAAAACAACAGACAACAACTACTCAATACCACATGGATACTACTAATAAAAGGCAAAGCATATTAATTGTTGTGGTTTTGATGTAAAATTTAATTTTACAATGTATTACTTGAAGTTGAAAAATTCCTTTATTTTTGTTTATTTCTCTATATAATACCTATAATTGTATTTTCCTTATATTCATTATATCGAAGCAATTGATTTATATTCTATATTCATCATAAATCTATATGTTTAATAAAGTTAATACTACATGTCACTATTGTTCCGGCTGCTGCCATCTGCTATCTTAAAGCAGTGTTCCACAGTACATTGTTGCCCAATGAAGGCTCCGGTAAGGGGGCAGAAAACTTACAAATAAAAGTATTTTAATGCATAGAAAATAACATGTATAATTCTACAAATTTTGTTTAAATTGATCATTATAAATTATTATTCCTGATCATTATTGTTTTTGATTATTCTGACAATCAGTTAATCAAAATTACAATTACATTGATTGTAACAAAAATAACCAAATAATAAAAATCAGGATTTCCAATTATCACCACTTTTGATTATTCCAACTGCACAAGTAATCAAAATATTACTATTATGTTTGCTGTTAAGCACAAAGATACATATTGGGATATCTGTGCTATCCTCAATTCTAATCTTATAAATTATCCTTTTTCACTTTAAGTTTGATCAGCTTTGATGATTTAGGATTCAAGGGTTTTGGGTTCAATCCCATTGCCATCAAACTTGCTTGCCTTCTCTTTGTTATTGGTAAAGCTATTAAGGTTATCCAATATTATCAGTAATTTTGAATAACTGACTAGAGGGAAGGCATCTATCTAGCAATACCCACTTCCAACTTTTTTATACTTGTACATACCATGGTTTGAGGAACTCTGTACTAATTGATTAGCAAATACCACTAATTGCTCAACTCTAGTAACAGAAATCTCACACTACAAGATCAGATATCATATTAAATATCACTGTTTGCTATACAAGCTTTATGTTAATGACATATTCAGATATTAACCAATATATAATTCTTTTCCAAATTAAACAGCTATTGGCTTACTTACGTGTTATACTTCAAGCAATCATCTGATTTAGTTGATGATATATCACTCGTATCACTATCATCCTTTAAAAGGTGCCTTGTTCTTCGATGTTTCGATAAAGCTGAGTTTAAAAAAAACATATAGCTGATCATTTCTAAGTGTTTTATGTCACAGTTATACTTATGAAAGAATAAGAATTCTAATGTGTAAGTCAAAACAAAGTTTTAAAAGAAAACATAGCATGCAGCATCTTTCCCATAGTAGACATAACCAAGTCGACATCAGAAGAAACATAACCCATTATTTAATGTATTCCTTTTAACAACATCCTATTTTAACTGTTTTATGATTCTTTCTTTTTAAAGTTGCATGATATAAAACTCCTGAAGATATGCTGAGAGCTGACATAACAATACTGTGGTAAATTATATTTTCAATGTTTTAATGTAGATGTTAACAAGAAGGCTTATAATGATAAGGTTGAGAAGTTTATAAAAATAGGCTGAGGATACTTAAGACTAGAGACATTATAAAAGTCTAGTAATTTTGACAAGTATCTAAAAGTGAGACATCAGATACAAAATAACACAGACAGTCAATTAGTAAGTGTTGAGTTTTAAATTGGTAATTCCAGTCATTGAATGATGTATTATGTTTGAGTGAAATATCTGAATCAGTATTAGTTAACATGTATATTAATTATTCATTTAATCAATCAATGAGACACAAGAATGTACAAGTTTATTTTTATCTAGTCGTAGTACTATTAACTAGGTATTTCCATTTGAGCATAATTTGTAAACTTAGGCCTACAAAAACAATATCGTACAAACTTATAGAAATGTTAAGGACCAAATAAATCAATTTCTTATTGTTAGGTGGACTGTAATTTTTCACAAAATAATTTAAAAGAACCTGCCCTATGAAAGAGCAACGTTAGTATCAGAAATGGGATTATTTTGGTGAAGATAAAATAGAAATGTGAATATACTTGAAGTTGAATTTAAACTGTTTGAAATGACAACCACGCAGTAAAAAAAGTGAGATTTAAGCATTATTGGAGAGAACAAAATTATTAACAGAAACTCATCAAGAAAAGGCCAAGAATTACAGGATTGAAACAGAAAATTATAAGAAGAAGAAGAAGGATGGGACAGACAATAAGGGCAGAAAATTAGAAGAACATGACTGGAAATTAAGTGAGTAGTAAACAGAGACAAATTATTTAAAGAAATAAAATCAAAATTAAGTCTGAATGACACTACAGGGGACATCCAGATGGATTACGGCAACAAGTTTGATGAAATGTAGTAAAGAAAGGTTGTAATGACAAAATTAATGAAGGAAAAAAAGATCAGTGGCAGAATGAACATCTGGAAAATACTTTATTAATTACCAAGATTAAACCAGCTACTCCTCTTTCTGCATTAGCTCAAGAATGCCAATGTAAAATATCATCTACAATAAAATATGGAATAGGAGAACTTGTGTGGTTATACATCTATTACCTCTACTGCTGTAAAATATGTTATTGTAGGACTATTCTTTACTACTTCAACCTTGACACTAGCAAATCAAGTTCTAGAATTTAGCTGGCCAGTTCAGCATTGGCTAACTGAGAAAACTAAAGGACTACGATGGGAAGGTACCATAAAAGGCATCCCAGATTCATTTTGAAGAAAACATTTTCCTCACCTGAAAATGTATTTTTCTGGTATATACTCACCTCTCACACAGAAAACTATGTTCACGATCATTCGACGATTAGCTATCAACCTTGTCACATGCCAGAATGCAGAGTGTCTTGTATCCTATGGTGCTGTTAATTATTGACGGACTACCTCTCGACTTCTCGCCCCGGGACACAGCCAACTTCATCCGCCACTTCAAACCCCAAGCCCAAGTATTCCCTGAGTGAACCCGACGTCTACGGAAAGGAGGCTTACTCCTCCAACCTAAGTCACTGGAAGATTTCCACTACCTTCGCCAACCCTGGTCTTCAAATCCTCCCGTCACTTGACAACCCCCCCAAAAGCAATACCAGTCTCCACGCTATATTTCTCCGGAACGTCCACATATCATTCACGCCAGAAGAAATACACCAAGCCCTGCTAGCTACAACAGATTCTACGATCCACACAGTCCACCGCATCCAGTCCAAGAAAACAGGTTTACCCTCCACGTTCATGAAAGTAATCACAACTTCTAAACATACAGCTGATCTCATCCTCACCCACGGTTGCTTCCTCGACTATCACCATTTCAAAGCAGAAAAACCCTATCGCAAGCCTCACCCACCCCATACCTTTCCTATCCAAGCCCCCATGCCCACGTTTCACAATACCCAGAAGATAACCGCCACCAACCAGAACTCTACCGCCCATCCTAAAACATCCGATCAAGCTACTCAAACTTCACTCACTCCTGTTACACAAGATATGTCTACTCAAACCACCACTACCAGGATCAAAACCAGCTGCAGGAGGAGGGCATAGAAGTCATGACATAAAGTATGTAATAAGAAAAGTGCATGCATCAACTAAACTGGACAGTCATCCACTGAAGGAGGAGTGAACAACTTGTTAGTACATACTCATCTCAACTCAACTGGACAGAAGATGATTGAAGGAGAAGGGCATGTGTGTATAGTGTGTTTGCTCACCTTGACTCTACTGAACAGATGCAGACTGCAGGAAGAGGGCACAGCATTGTATGAAGTGATTCTGCTTAAACTGACAATGTCACCACCACTCCACATCACACTGATTGGCACCCCTTGTTTAGCCCTAGCCATTACATCCCAAACAGTGAGGGTTCTCCATGGTCCACCATTCTAGTGGCCAAGTACTGGTAAGTGGTAAGTGTCTCCCTTGTTCCACTCGAAGAAAAAAAAGAGGGGAGGAAATCATGGTGAAGAGACCCAGAAAAAATGTCCAGATCCCCATCGGTCCTGTTTCAGCTGGAAAGTTTTTTTTTTTAATGGAGACAGTGCAACAGGTGACCTCAAACCTATTTTGAAAAGCCAGCAAGCACATGTATGGAGTAGATGTGGTTTAGACAAGACTGTATAAAGGTATCAGAATATACCACAAGGATACCTCAAGTGGTTTTGCAGAACACCACATCTCAGCAGTGGACATATGTGGAGCCAGGGTGGATAGTATGAACACTTTCTATTATCCTGGCTTGTTGCAGAACTTTGGGAAATAAGTGTACCTACGGAAGCACAACCAACCACAATTCTGGAAGCAATACTACAAACCAAAGGGGAATGTACTCACCTGTCCTAAAATGGTGGGTTGAATATAGAATGGCAAACAGTCAGGCAGTGACTCTCGGTAGATAAGACAGCCAGATAGCAAAGAGAGTGGGCAATGAAGTTATGCAAGGCAGTCCACATGCCAGCTTGAATGATCTTGTCCAGCAGCCATTGGAAATAAGTAGCAAGAGAATGAGAGGTGACGAATCTGATGGGATGAAATGAGGAGACCAATCAAAGAATTTGGCAGACTGTATAAATAAAGGCAGAAGGAGATTTGTCTCTAGAGGAAAGGGAATCCCAGGAATTGTAGAGTGGAAAATGGAAACCTCTAAAGTTAGAGGTATGAGCTAGGTAGCAACAAATGGCACAAACACAGCAGAAAATTGTCCTGATCCAAGTGAGCAAGAAGAGTGAAATAGAAGGATAGGAGAGGAGAAAGGTAGAGGTCTCCTCCCCGAGCAGCTGAAGATTGAGGGAGGAAGAACTGGTCTGGAGAAAGAAGAATATGAAGACAATGGAAAATGTACAGGATGAGTTGTTAGCATAAAGATTTGAACAATGGAGACCACAGAAAGAGCAATATGTCTGAAGAGAAGGTGGTAGAAGTTGTAGGCAGCCAATGGCTCTAATGAAAACAGGTAATAGCATGCAGGATGATACTGAGGACCCTGTCGGGCATGGAAACAGGCTGAGTGAGTTTATGGATAAGGAAGGACCGGAAAAAGATGGAGAAAACAGCGGAGGAAACACCTTGTGGTAATGAACAGGGAAAATAATGAATGAAGACAAGGCACCCAATGACTGGCAAAGACAGAGACAACTGAACCTTGTAGAACAGCCTGGTAAAGGAAAGGGAGATTTACAATTGGAGGAAGGTGGTGACGAATGGACCAATGTCAAAAGCCATGCCCCTCATGTGGCTAGAAAGATGTTCAGAATGGTAAATGAAATTATTACCAAATGGGAAATTCTAGTCCAACAGGCAATGGGCTGCACTAATCCAAACATGAAAGTAGAAAGACAAGATCCTGTGATGGAAAGGAGATGGAAGATGTTGAAGCAATAGTGTATAATTAGCAGAGGAAGAGGGAGGGTTGGGTTGGCAGGTGGCATAGAAGAGGGAACCAATGTTAAACCAGCCAAAGAGGTAACACCAAGAGGAAATGGCAAAGACTCCATTCAAAGTCAGGGTCCAAGGTAAAGACTGGAAAGGAGGGTGAGCATTAGGACAAGTATAAGACCAGACCAGGTGGAAAGCAGCAACAGCCAGGCCAAATAAGTGAAAGAGAGGAAGCATGAAAGAGAGAGGATTGGCTAGACAACAATGAGAACACCCCCAATGGAAACTGGGTGAGAAGAGACATTTTGTGAGCAGAATGAGTGTTCCTAGTTTTAAAAAAAAGAAGAAGGAAATTAAGTTCCTTAAACACTGCATATCTCTTACCTTGACAATGAAAAAAACATGTCTGATGTGTTCAGTGCCATGAAATAGAATGAACATCACGAGTGCAAAATCACAGAGGGAGCTAGTGCACAGGGAGACTGTGTCACCTTCCTATTGGTGGAGGGCTTTTGCTGCATAATAATATCATGAAGTAGCACAATTTATGAGAAATCTTATGAGTTTAGGTGGGAGTCACATGACAGCTAGTGGTATGCAAATCTCTAAGGCAGAACATACAGGGAAGGATAGCTTTTTGTGTGTAGAGATGTGTATCACCTCAGAAATCATTTCCAGATTGAAGGCACAAAATAGTGAACAATAAGCTAATTACCTTCAGGCCAGGAAATTCATCATTTTTAGGGCAAGGCCATTTGGCCTTGCATTTTCTCTCATTTTCAAGGGCACCAAGGTGAAAAAAAAATCACTGGAGAGCACTAAGGCTAAAGTACACATTAATGTTAATGGAGCAGAAATGAGTTTCTGAATTAGTTTAGTAAATATGGTATTAATCGTTTTTCACTGGGGGCTTGAGAAGCTGAACTATCCTTTCAGATTATGTTTATCAGGTAGATAAGTATTAACTTTAACCAATGAGACTTTATAAATAACAGTACATCAGCTTAAAAATTAAACAAAAGAGGTATAAAGAAGATCTAAAATGTTCTGTGACCTTAATAAGATACCTAGTTTTTGCCCCCTCCTGACCCCCAAATGATGTTTGACCTAAGAATTATATACAACTTTTATGCATCTCTATCCATTTATTACTTTAACCTTGAGAATGATCAGATAAATTCCCTGGGAGGAGGGGAAGTTTAAAGGCCTAACTTCTACCAACAAAATTCAACCCTAACATGTCTGACAACTTGACCAAGATTAACAAAAATCAGTTACATGGTTTCCAAACAGCAGTCATTTGAAAGTCTTGATGGACAGACAGATAGAAAGACATTTCCATGACATAAAGTCAACATTCTATTTCCAAACAATAATACTACTAGTATTTTTTGGCATAATTTCTAATGTAGGCTAGTGCCAATAAACAGTAAACTAGGTCTACACTACAGTATAGCACATGGTCATAACCTGTAAATCACCCATCATTGCAAACTGCATTGCGCAACTCGCTACTTGTAATCCAGTAATGTTAACCGTAGCTACCTAATGTAGTAGGCCCTAAGCCTTTGGTGGGTTTGCACATAAAATTTATCAAGCAAATTATTTCCCTTCATTTTCTAAAAATTCAGGATGTAACCTACATATTTACTGATGAAAAAAAATGTTCCAATTCTAGCACTTGGCCACCACAGAAAAATGTTTCACAGCATTCTCCCTCTTAACTCATTACTTTTTAGACATGTTTAATACTAGGAGTATTTCCAGTCGCGCACTTCACTCTGACCAGCGTACCTACGTGCTGACTTTGATAGTCACATACTGCTGTTACTGTGAACCTTTGTGTAAGCTCGGAGGGTTTGTTGTTTGAGCACTGATTTGAAATGCTTGCTACTACTAAGTGCTTGTGCTATGGTACAATTCAACAAAATGCACAAATGTCTTACAGCTGATCAAAGCGAAAACTTCACTACCTCCACTACGTGCATCTTATGTGATATATTGTTCGTAACAAGGTAGTTTCCGTAGGTTGCAAGTCCAGTGTTTGTGATCCCCAATGCAGTATGTAATATAAACTTAGATTATGAAGGCACAACGGCCAAAGGGATACTGAAGGGTGACCATCGTGGCCATGGATTTTAATGATTTTCTGAGGGCACCACAGCCATTTTAATAAATAAGTTGGCAATTGCTGCCATGGTCACCATGAATTGCCTGCCCTGTATTTAACTACACATTTAAAATGGCCAGTTTCTGACAGCATTAAGTAACCCTCCAGCTGAAAGTCAAAGTGACAAAGAACATATCCAGAGCAACATTCTGGAAAAAAACTCACTCAAACTTGAGAAAGATCTGTAAAGGCTTGCCCAACTATTCCTTGTGAAATGATGGATTTGTTAGTCCATGAACAATTTGTAAATGCTATGACTGATGAATATACGAGTGTACATCTTCAAATAAAGCTGGCAATGGAACTTGAATTCACATTCACTACTACTTCAGAAATAAATGGACAACTATAGCAATATTGTGTTGGAACACCACTTGAGAGAGAGAGAGTCAATGAGCTTGGCTCTTTCTCACAGAGTGACAAGGGGAATATATACATCAAAGTTGTAATGGACTATTTTCCAAAATGGCCAGAAGCACAAGCTGTTTTGAACCAGGAAATAGAAACTCTAGCAAGAAAAGTGATGAATGAATTTCTTTCAAGATTTTGCATGTTTGTGGAATTTCACTAAGGTCATAGAGACCTTTAAATCAGCCTTATCTGCAGATGTGTGTCAGATCCTGGGGATAAAAAAGATCAGGACATAAACTCTTCACCCATCTTCTGAATGTATGGTGGAGAGATACAACCACACACTGTTAGACCAATTAACCATTTATGTGGATGAGTATCGGGAAACATGGAATCAAGCACTTCCACTGTTACTGATGAGTTATCATCCAGCAGTACATGAAGCTACAGGCAACACACCATTATCATTTATTTATGGGAGAGATCTTACAATGCCATTGGACCTTTTGTACACTTGTTCACTGAACAGTCATCCAAAAGGGTCTTATACAAAATAAGCAGAAAAATTATAGAACACCACTGATGTCATAAATGACTTTATCCAAGAAAGACTTAAATCGACTAGTGATAAAACAAAAAAGTCATTATGACATTACTGCTAATAAAACTGGATTATATTAAAGTGAAATGATATGGCTATACAATCCCTGTCACAAGAAATGGCAAATTCCAAAGTTAATGAAGTGCTGTGAAGGGCCATATGTTGTACTTAAAAGCATCAATGATGTGGCTTATAGAATCTGGGGGGGGGGGGGATAGTTAATCCAAGTCAAAGGTGATCCACCATGATCATATTTGGCAGTACTTTGGTGAGAGAATGGCCAACTCCAAAGAAAAACTTGTCAGTGAAAACTGAAACTTCAATCACCTACCTAAGAAGAACATTTCCTGCAACAGGACAACTAGTATCAAAAGTCTACCCCCTCTGTATATCATGGGCCTTGGAAAAGAAAGACACAAAAAAGCCTTGATGAATGGACAGTTTAGTGTAGTTTTGTCTGCATTACTATTGTTCAAGGGACTTCACAATACAGAGAGGGGCAGTGTTGTAAGCTATATTGATAATGTTGAAATTTAGATGTTAGCAAGAAGGCAAATGTTATGATCAAAAGTTTACAAAAGTACGTCTAGCATACCTAGAATAACCTAGAAGCATCAGATATAAATTCTAGTGGGTTAGTCAATTAGCAAGTTGGCAATCAATCATTCAGTGTCGCTAATCATTGAATGAAGTACTTAGTTTGAGTGAAACATATGGATCAGCGTAAGTTACGTCGTATATTCAGTTACTCAATCAATTAGCCATGAAATTGTACAAGTTTATTTTTACATTAGTTGTAGTACTACTAACTAGGTATTTCCATTTGAATGTCATTTGTAAACTGAGGCCTAGAAGTTACAACAGTGCACAAGCTTGTAAAAACATTAAGGAAGAAATAAACTAATTTGATTGTTACATGGACTGGACTTTGAATTACTTTCACTAAATAATTTAAAAGAACCTGTAGAACAAAATAACTGTTATAATAATACAACTCTTATTATGTCAACTTGAAGAAAATGTACAGAAATTAACTTTTTCAGTTTCACTAACACACTCAGGCCTCAATGATTTCAGTAAAAGGTACATTTGTAATTCATTTCTCAACTTTTTAAACAAACAAAGTTCAGTTACATAAAAATAAAGTGATAGCAGTGTTACCTAAATCAGAAGTTTCTTCTATCACTGGACTAGTTCTCTCTTCTTCATCTGATTCTGGTGCTTCACCAGACACGACAATGCCTTGCTGAGACATCACTGGCTAATATCAGAAATCAGTTTTAAACACATCAAATTTCTAAAATACACTCTATAATATCTAAGGTTGATAAAAAAAAAGAAAGTTCTTGTTAGGAATTGTGTTCCTGTAACTTTTAAATTAAGATTACACATAAGCAGCTTTTTAGAAAAAGATATTTCAGGTCAAATTTGCGACTTACAATGTTTGATAGTTACAATTACAAGTTAGTCTGTAAATGTTTATAGTACATATTAAGCACTGTAAATAATAAGACAAGGGGATTCTATAAAAACTCTTATTCAAAAAAGAATTAAGTGTCCTTAAATATCTTTTACATACATTTTAACTGAGAACTATATGTAGCTAAGAAAACTGAATATCCCTGCTAAGCAAACAAACTTTTGTGTTTACTGCCAGAGTAAAAAAATTCTTTCCTCAAACAGTAATGTGCATCATGGATTTGATATATAAATATCCATAGAATGCTATCCTTGTTATTTCATAACAAGCATTACAGCCAGCACAACAGGTATACCACTGAAGGAAGCAGCAGCTACTGATGGTACACTTGTAAAACCGTTTTAACCTAGTATTTAAATCAATGCTTCTACTTAGTTTTGATAAAATAAACAAGTTTTTGTTAAATGTTATTGGTATAATACATCAAATGATACATCTACATTATAAAAATCAAATATTAGCTCTAAAGAAATTGGTACTTGTGACTAAACTCAAACAATTGTGTAATTTGCTTATTGATTAATTGACAGGCTAATCAATCAACTAACCAATTATTCTTTCATAAGACTAACTGATTATATTTTATTGTTTTGTTCATCTTCAGTTTTTATTTAATATAATAGAATCTTCAGGTACAACAGTTTCGAATTAATCCTAAACTTTTGTATATGAAAATTATCATAAATGCTGCATAGTACAAAACTTGTAACAAGCTGAAAATACAATTAATACTGCTCTGTAGGTTTCTCCCTATAAATTTTTATAAAATCAAATAAACTAACATTTTTGTGAAAAATAATTGTCCTTAGATTTCACGAGTTGAAACTAATGAAAATTCTTGTCACAGTGTGTGATAGATAATATATAATTCAGTGAAACCCAATTAACCCCAATTTTAGAAACAAAGTCAGCATAAAATCCATGGAGTTTGGAGTCTGTTTTACTTCATCTTATAGTAACCTAAACTAATTTAGGTATGTGAATAATGTTACAACATTTTGTCAAATATGTTATTATACAGTGGACCATCTGTTTAATGACTGTATGTATACGTTAAGGTTTTCTTTTCTTTTACCACCAGAGGTGACACTGAAAAGAGAATCAATCAATGATGTAGAGGCCTAATGCATTATTTGATGAACCTTGAATAGGTGAAACTGCATTCAACAGCAGAGGGTATGGCCCATCAAAGAATGCATTAGGCTTCTACATCACAAATTCTCTTTTCAATTTCATCTCTGGTGAAAAAGGAATCTTTAACATATATAAACTTGTGATGCTATTTATCGACCTTTTTTCAGAGATTAAAATGAATCATAAGATGGAAATTGAAGCATTACATGAAATAATAAAATGAAAAAAATCTTTAATTGTAGATTTTTAAAATTTTTTTGTAATTTCATCATGAATGTGAAGAAATAAAAAAATAATTAACAACTTTATAATAAGAGAGAAGTTGCTGATATGGAAGGAAGTTTAGAAAGAATATATTAAATTGACTAAAGCACTTATGGTACAAGCTGTAAGAAACTGTAAAAACACATATGCACCCAGAAAAATAAAAAATAACAACTCAATGCTTACTGTACTCAGCAGATTTTAAGCTATATGTCACAACAGACTTTTTATACTGCTTGCTAGTTGGGTATTGTTACACTGCTAGAGTCCATGTCTACTAAATTATGCATTTTAAACTATAACTAATACATAATTACCTAAAATATAATAATAAGACCAAAATACAATTTAAACTATATCTCAAACTATAACATATTTAGGTAAGAAACAACTGTAACTGCTATAGTCCACCAAGCAGCCAACCATGCTATAGTCAATTTCATATAATCCGTGATGACAACTGCATGCCAATTTCAAAATAACCATTGTTAGTTTATAGTGTAAAATGACCTCTTTCTAATGTCTATAAACATTATGTACATATCTGCATGGAGGTTATAAAGCTCAAACAAATCCATTGAAGGTGAACAGCTGTCAGAGATTGAAAAAATTACTGCTTGTTTCAACTATGTTTTGTTCAGAGAACTTTGAAATGAATGAGTCAAAAGGTTATTTAAGCATCTCATTATTCAGACATATCTTTACAGAACTGCTATTGTAATATTGATGATACAGAGTACCAAAGTAGAAAATTTTCATAGCTCATTGGTCACATGACAATAGATCTGAAGTTAAGTGTTTTTTTAAAGGTTTATTTTGAAATAAAGGACTGAAAACTTGGATAAAATAAAACCTTGAATCATAACACACATTCTAATATTAATTTCATTCAGATATGTTGATATTAAAGATGTTTAATTAAATTTTTCATGTAACACAGTGACTCTCACAGAAAAGCATTTAAAGAGACACCTCTTGTGAAAGGGCTAATAGAAGAATGGTTGTTTATGGAAGTCTGTATGCAACTATAAATGAGACAGCCAGATTATGGAGATAGTTTAATGTGAGATAAATGACTGTGAGCAGTCCACATACCAGCCCAGAGAAGGGGGAGGGAGATGAAGAGAGAGGAGACTCGAGAGAGTGTACAAACATCTGTCATCAGAGGGGCACATATAAGATGTATCAGCTGGCAGATCTAATCCATAATGCGGTAAAAAAAAAGCCCCAGGTAGAGGAGGTGTCTCAGTTATGAAAGGACAGTGAAAGGAACCACAAGAAGGAAGAGCACGACAAAACAGAGTGAGCCAGACAGGATAAGAGCATCTGCCTGGAACAGAAACAACCTTGATAAAAGAAATTGAAGGAGGGAATATTGCAGAAAGAAGTGAAAACTTCCCCTTCCAGGGAATACCAGGAAAGGAAGAAACAGCCAGGACAAAGAGGAAGGGAAGAGCAGTAAGGAGAAGCTAGAGGAAACAAAAACGTACATATGCGTACAATGGTTATGAACTGCAAATAGGAATAGGACTCATGTGTTGAGGGAGAGCAGAACCTTTTTTAGAGATTTTTTGTTATTAGCACTAGCCTTGATACTCCCACCTATCCCATGTGAAAACACTCCACAATAGGAGCATGACACTTTCCTTGCACAGCCAGCTCCCCTTGGATTATAGAGTGTAACATCACTTTGAGATTAGGTGCCAAAGAAAAAACAGCGGAAGTGGGGAGCATGGGTGGGAAGTGCGAGAGGAGTTAATTATCTATTGGAAATACATTTTCCGTGTAGAAAAATTATAAGTTCCAATATGATACCTTACCTCTTTTCACATAATAGCTAGAATCCCACACTGAACTGGTGGAGGGACCAGTGTAACTTTACCTAGATGACCCCCCTTTGGAAAGCATCTAAAGACAGCTCATGGAGTGTGACATTTCTTGTGAAAAGTAAACATACTTGTGGGAAACTGTACCACATCTGAATCAAGTATACTTTTCACCCTTGATGAATGAATATGTCTCTAAATGGGTGGCAGGGATGCACATACAATAATTAGCAGTATGCGTCCCAATGACAGTGGATAGAGTATATCCAATCATAGTTGGGAGATGAACTCCATCTTCAAACCATTGGAACCAGGAATAATACATCAAGTCCCTGGTAGGAGGGTGTCCTCTAGGAAATGAGATCAGATGTGCCCATTGATGGTGTTGAGTGGCTAGGGAGAATCAACTCCATTCTCAAACAGTTGGAATCTTTTATTAATCCTCTTATCCTTCTTAGATACTTCCAGGACTGAAACGATAATGTCTTAGACCAGATTATAGCCAGATGTAACCTTAATCTTAGTGTCCAGGGTGCATCTGACAGTCAGTGGCAGATGAACCCAAAACCACTGAGACCAGGAGTTATATGTCTAGTCCTTGGAAGGAATGGTAAATTCACCTCACCTGGCAGAACTTATGTTGGCTGGTATAGGTCTAATTCAACACCAGACCACTTGGGAACCATCCAGGTGGCAGTAGGATGAGGGATCCCAGTTGGAGGGGCAAACTGCATTATGGTGAATCATCTCCAGTTGATGACCAGGCAATGTCGAGTATTCCATTTCCAATCTGCAGTAGGAGGAAAGTTCAACACCATCTACACCAGCAGCATACCACCACCCTACTCTCAACTGAGTGGTATTGAGCACACTCAGAAGAAAGCTTCCATGGTCCACCACCATAGCAGATAGGAGCTGGTAAGTCGCAAGAACTCCCATACTTCATTGGAAGCAGGGGTGAAATTTATTGAAGAGTTCGAGGGAATGCACCACCAGAGAAAGTGCAATTAGTGACCCCAAAGCACTGTTTTGAAAAGCAGGCTGTTCCTGATTTATTCAATTAGAGGATTGTCAGGGATAGGCAGCAATCTCCTTTTGCTTTACTCATGCTAGTCCAGGACAGACATGTTTATGATGCAAAACATCATAACAAAGAACCTACAAATTGTCTTGCAGAACATCCCATCTCAACAATGGGCATTAATGACTTGAAAGGCCATACAGTGCAGATTTAAGAATTACTATACCTGGTCAGGTAACACTCGTCACAGAGTGGGATGCAACAAGATGCAATAGAAAAGTACCCTGTAAAAGAAAAATTTATAATTAAAGTTACCCACTTATAGTTGCACCATAGCATGTGAGCCTGCAACAGGAGGCAGATGAAATCCAGTTAAGGAGGAGATGGCTAAATGATAAAGATAATGTGAGACAAAATTATGAATAGTCCACATGCCAGCCCAGATGATCTCCTCTAATGAACGAGACAAATGAGCAGCCAGAGACGTGGCAAAATGATGGATCTGGTGAAAGGAAACCTGGAATAGTCAACAGTCA